TATATATATATATATATATATATATATATATATTTCAGATGCTTGTAGACTTTATAGGGATATTATTTGTTAAATGCATTTCCAAAAAATTCCAAACTTTTTTTTTAAAAGATGGTGTGATCTCTTCCCAATTCTTGCAGCTCGTACAACAAATAGAAATGGTTCAAAATATGATCTCATTAATCCATACTATCTATTTTTTCCATAATTAGATTAAAAATGAAATTACAATGCAAAATTTAAAATGCTTCACTAATGAGGTCTCACCATAAAGATTTCAAACATGATGAGATGTTTTATTTATTTCATTCATTTTTGACAATTTAGTTTCAATTTACTCTCGATATCTTGAAAACTTTGTTATGTCAAAAAATATATATACTCCCTTGGCATTGTATATACACCTAATGTTAATTTGAATTCCTATGTCGAAGGGTTTCTTTACAAAATCTTTCTTCGTCAAATTATTTTTGAAATAGAAAATGAATTTTTTCGAAAAAATCGCAATGTAAGTTCATTGTAGACCAATTCTTTTCTATTTAATGCACAATTGTTCTTGTCTTACTTTTAAAAATAAAATTATCATTGTAAACCAATTCTGTACTATTTAATGCACAACTGTTCTTGTCTTACTTTTAAAAATAAAATTATCATTGTAAGCCAATTCTGTTCTATTTAATGCATAACTGTTCTTGTCTTACTTTTAAAAATAAAATTATCATTATAAGCCAATTCTTTTCTATTTAATGCTTAATTGTTCTTGCCTTACTTTTAAAAATAAAATTATCATTGTAAACCAATTCTTTTCTATTTAATGCGTAATTGTTCTTGTCTTACTTTTAAAAATAAAACTATCATTGCTAACCAATTCTTTTCTACTTAATGCATAATTGTTCTTGTCTTAGTTTTAAAAATAAAATTATCATTGTAAGCCAATTCTTTTCTATTTAATGCATAATTGTTCTTGTCTTACTTTAAAAAATAAAATTATCATTGTAAACCAATTTTGTTCTACTTAATGCATAATTGTTCTTGTCTTACTTTTAAAAATAAAATTATCATTGTAAACCAATTCTTTTCTATTTAATGCATAATTGTTCTTGTCTTACTTTGAAAATAAAACTATCATCATAAATCAATTCTTTTCTATTTAATGCATAATTGTTCGAATCTTACTGTTAAAAATAAAATTATCATTATAAATCAATTCTTTTCCATTTAATGCATAATTGTTCTTGCCTTACTATTAAAAATAAAATTATTGTCGTATTTAGACTTATAGTCAACTATCATTACATACATATTTAATAGTAGTTATTCTTATATTTCATGACTCTACTTTTTATAATAATATTTTAGAATATCTTTTTTTTACTTTTTAGAACATATGTTAAGACTGTAACTGTTTAGAACATGTGTTAAGACTGTAACTGTTTAGAACATTAGTTCTGAACTTGCTATCTCGAAAACCTGCTGCCTCGAAATTTTTTAGAGTCCCTTAAATTTTGAGATATCGAGAGTATACTGAAGTATGAAAGATAATCGAAAAATTACATTCATCAGTTTCAGGAAAACCAGAACAGTTCAAAATTATTAAATTTGAATGGAATTTTTTTTGAAATTAAATTAACCTCACGAGATTATCTCCTTCTCCTTAAAATGTAATAAAAATTCCTTTCATGAATTATAAGGTTTGTTAATTAATAAATTATGCCGAAGAACAAATGCGCTTAAGAAAGAACAATGACGGTTATTGTTCCTTTAAAAAAAGGTATAAATATCAATCCTTATGACTGGAATATAAATAGTTTACTCCTTAATTATTCGTTTCCACCTAGCATATAACTAGCATATTTATCGTCCACATTCATTGTCAGTAATTTAATAATCTTTTGGTCTCAAATTGAGTCAACATTTATATTTAATATATTGAAATATAGTTTTAATTAATATAACTTTATGTGGGTTTTTTTTATTTTTTTATTTTTAAGTAAAGGTGTTTCGTAATGTTTAAAAATTTCCTAGCATTACGCATGTTCTCCGTAATGCTAGGAAAATGTTTGTTAAAAATAAAGCTAAATTATGTATATGTACAGCGACAAACCCATTCAGATGGATGGAGAAATATCAAAAACGATTTGATTGTCATTGTCGAATAAAACTTGAAAGTGTTAGAAATAATAGCTTTCGAACTATTCTTTGTTTCCTCCGCTATCATCTTCCTTTATTATGATTCGTCAGTATTTGATAAAGATTTTTTTTCTTTTGGTACCAATTTCTATACCGTTTTTCCCTTTCTTTTCCAGTTTTATATCTATGGCAAAAATTCTAGGATCCATTTTGAAATGTTCACAAGGACGTACGTTTTCCCCTCATTTGAGCCTGTTTTGTTCCGAATTTCTATGCCGTTTTTCCCATTTTGTTTTTCATTTTTAAATCAACAGCAAAAATTCTAGAATCCATTTTGAATCGCTCAGTAGGAAGAGGAGCGCTTTTGTTTCTAAAATTGCAATTTCAATTCATAGCCTTAATCAAAAGCTCGGCGTTTTAGATAACTTTAAACACGTCGTTTTAGATAACTTTAGAAGCACTAATTTTGGTAATTCACTGATGCTGAATATAGATTTCATCTAACATAGCAAATAAAAAGCAATTAAATATTAAAGAACGTACAAAAAAATTCCTTTTTCTTTTATTGAGAGCTATAAGCCAGCAATTATCACTGACGTAATATTTAAAACATTTGAAAGAAAGATCGTCTGCTGGTCTTATTTTTATCAATGGAGAGTTTAAAGCCAATAAAAAAGTTCCATGTTTTATACGTTTCTCCTATTCTTCTTCTAAAGTTCACAGACAGACAGACTAACTCTTATTTTTATAGATAATAAATGTAGTTGGGATAGTTAAGATCGATTTTTGCAATGCTTTAAATATTTTTAAAGCTCAATTTTTTTTCGATGGATCCCTGCCTTTCAGTTCGTCCATCGAAGGAATAATAACTTTTAAGAATAATAACTTTTCACCTGTTGTGCTTGAAATCACATTACTTTAATATATTCCTTAATTGGGTATACTATAGCCTACGTCACAGGTTGTGTTATTCCTACTAAATTTAACCCATGAACGTCATTTTCTGCGAGCCTAACTTCAAGCCACAAATAAACAAACGAAGTGTTTGATCGTTTAAATAGCTGCTCGCCAGATTTTATTGCATTATAAAGAAAAGTAATTGATATTCGATTTTTGATTAATAATTGATTTATGTGGATAGTGGCATTTATGTGGATAGTGGCATAGAATTTAGCATTGCGTCATGGTAAATGTTATTCCTACTAAGTGGAAGTAGTTGTGTTTTTTTTATATTATACCCAATTGAAATATTCATTTTTACTTTTTATTTAACTAATCTTGTTAACCTACCTTTTATTTTACTAAATTGCGAGCGTTTAAGTTTTTTTTATCAGGTTGCCAAATTTTACTCTTGTGTTTTATAGTACCGTGTTTAAACGGAACCTCATTAATGCCATATTTTCTTTGAGGTAGAACAAAGATGCTTTTGACTGTGCTGTCATTCCAACCACGCCTACACAGCGCAGATAAACAAGATCAAAAGACAGGGGGCCGTTTCTTTTGGACAATTATAAACAAATTACAACAAGCGTGTGAAAACTTCTATGCTGTGTTTTTAATGACAGTACAATCACTTCCCTCTTAATTTAAAGACGTATTCAGTGCGAAAAACAGACGTCCTGGAAAACTTATGATCTAATCATTTGATTTATATGAAATTTTTATAATGCTCTCACATATTCTATTAATTCTGATGGTAACTTATACTCAGTAAAACCTGAAAATGTATTTTTTTCTGAACAACCCTATTCTTTTCGAGCCTCAAGATTGGAATCAGTGTTCTATCATCAGGCGTGAATGTTAATTGTTATTTTAGT